ATGGATCCCCCTCTGGCTCTCCAGGTCCGATTAGTCCGCCAACCTGCGCCTGGCGCCGTTGGCGACCCTCGGCGCCCGAAGCCCGGGGCCCCTTGATCTCCATGCCCCTCGCGATCCCCATCTTCGCCGGGTCGCCTGGTCTCCTGCACGGTCGCGCCCGCGGCGGCCGCCTCATCGCCGGCCATCTGAACGGCCGCCAGGCCCATTGAGCTGTCTGCCATGAGCAGCTTGATCGCCGCTGCCATCTCGCAGCCAGCTCGACGCAGAAAGCCTCCAGGTCGCCATGGGGGACCCCGCGCCCGCCGAGTCCACCTCGCTGGAGGTGGCCTGAGCTGCTGCTTGACGGCCTCGTCTTCTCGCGCCCTGGGCCGCGCTCCCAGCGGCCCCTCTTGCCGCGCGCCTTGCAATTCGCGCGCGCCATGCTATTCGCGAGCATTACTTCGGCCTCCTCGCTATCTATCTTCGCGGGGCCGGTCCTGCTGATGTTGGCCTTCCAGCCGCGATTCGCCTTGCTCTGAGCTGGCGCCTCGCGGGCCTGCTCGTCGTTGGGCCCGCGGCGTCGGCGCCCAGCCGCCCGCGCCAGTCGCCGAGCCTCTGCTGCTCAGGTATCGCACTCCTCCAGACGAATCTCATCGGCGCCCGCATCGTCGATGGCTCCCTCAATTTCGTCGATGTCTGCAGCTGGGGCCTGGCGGCCCGAGTCGCCGCAGATGCCCCTGTCGTCGCGATTGCCGCGTTGATCTCCCAACGGAGCATGTCTTTCATCCTTGCCATTTGCTGGATTGGCTGCGCGCCGTCCACGCCCGCGAACTCATCGAGCAACAGTGTCTAGCTGCATTTGCATTTCCGCCGTCACGTCGTCCCATATGCATTCGTCGCTGCACTGTCCGAGGGTGGTCATATGCTCGGCCATGCTGTTATTAGCCAATTTCAGCAATGCACTCGAAGGTCCTCGATCACTCTAAACTATGCCGGTAGCGTTTTGAACCTCTCGCACATCGTCTCTTGCCATAACAATATAATCTTGAACTGGCTCCGATCGATCTCTGGAACATTGGAAGAACAGATAGTCGAATGCTTGCTGCTTCTGTACTGTCCGACCGTCGCCACCACCAACTGCGTTGCAGCACATCACCACATAATGGCCTCGACCTTCTCAAGTGTAAGTTTCCACGACCATCCACTGGCCTGAACTAGGTGGCGTAAAGTTTCTGCGTCCTCTGTCGCATGGTCAACCAATATCGCTCTCTCCTTAAAACTCCTCTCCGCATGTTGGGTCGCCGCTGTAGTGAACTGCGCCCTCGTTGTCCACGAAGAGGGTCCGTCCTGAAACTGATGTTTGAACGTCGTCATCTTCTGGAATAGTCTGCATCTTCCGCTGCGACGGATGTAGCTGATGTTGTCGTCGCCCGTAGCTACTGCTGTCGTTGCCCTCGTCGAAAATTATGGTGATGCCGCTGATGCTTCGGAATGCGCAGTGGTACAGCACAAACGCGAGCATGTTGAGCGCCAGCATGTAGGTCTGCACGACCAATCTATATGACACCCTCACACACGCGGAGCAGGAACTGCTCGCGCGACTAGTGTACATCTCACTAACGATATCCAAACCACACATCTTGATGCACGGGCAACACGAATAATATTATGAATATCTCTTTCCGCACTCAGACTAAACGCGGTTTCCGCACTCAGGCTAAACGTGGGTAGGTGTGTCCACCCTCGTCATGTGGACGACAGTGAATACTGAACACGAGCAAGAAAGAGCAGCAATAACGAGTGGCAACTGTCATATGTCATATCACTACTTTTTTTTCATATGATCTGTTTTACAGCTTGACATGTAACACTCTGTTTCTGTTCCGCAGCTGGATGCACAACAGCAGTATTGCGTTGCGAATCAGTGGGGGTGCCCAGCTGAATGTGGCCATGATGGACAAGCAGGTCGTGTCAACGGCCTTTCGTAAAGATATGGGGGATTCAAGCGATTCCCCTCCCCAGTGTGATAGACGTGTCCATTGGCACTCAAAATCCAGATCAGACCATATTATCAGTTTGTCAAACTGATACGTTACATACACTATGCTTCGGGACAGCTTTGCATCCAGAACCGGCCCCAACTCTCCAATCGCGCTATTGGTGTCGGGGTACATTCCGGGGGCGTCCCCCCGACGTCCCCTGAAAAGAAACTCGGGTTGGGTTTTCCGCCCATAACCCTTCTGACCTCTTTTAACTTCTTTTGGGAAAGCGATTCAGGTGTTTTTGTTCCCCGGACGTCCGTCAGTGCTTGAACGAAGGAAGTGGTACGTTTCCACCAAACTGAAGGGGCCCTGGGACACACAAATAAATATACACAAATCACAGGATCCCCCACATTTGTTTTTACATATTTTCTGGGTTTTCGTCTTCCCCCTCACTTCCCATATTTTCCTATCTTTTCCTGCGGATCGACGATTCATTGTGTCTGTGTGTTTGTCCCCTCCTGGCAAACCCCAGACGTCCTCCCTTTAATTCCTGCGGTTGGGAAGGGGGCCTCTCCCTGGGACCTCCCCAATCAGGGTCGGGCGGTGGGTGGGTGGGCTGGTCTGAAGGGGGGAAGGGTGCACGGTTCCCCCCGGGGCCGTAGGCGACCCGAGTAGGAGGAGGAGGAGGAGGAGGCGGAGGAGGAGGAGGAGGAGGCGGAGGAGGAGGAGGACGGGTCGCCTCAGCCCTTCGCAGAAACCCTCCAGGGAAGCGGGGACAAGGGAGATTTCTCACTAGAGTCCCCGCGACACCCCTCTGGGATATTTCGTGTTGGGTTCGAGGGGGGATTCCCATAACTCACCGCTCACCTCACTCAGAAGGGGGGAGTCCCCGGAACCCTCTTTGACCTTGACCCCCCGCACGTTTTGTTTTGGGGAGATGTTCGGGGCCTCTTAGGCCGCTGCTATAATGTGCCCAAGACTCGATTGACAATTCAGCGATATCCAAATTCGGGTTCCTCTCAAACGACTTGGCCCGCGAAATGTTTTCCACACCCGCTGTTCTGCCACACGCGTGCCAATACTCACGTGGACCGCTACCGCGCGTCTTGAGCCAAAAACACCTAGGGAGGCGCCGCCCATCGATTTGCTGATGATTGCGGAACGGCGGTGATGGCAGCACAAGAGCGGCAGGATACAGTAATAGAACAAACTTCGGGCTGCCTCCTTTCAACCACCCCACCCCCGCTGCTTCTGCCGCAAAATAAGGCGCATGCAACACCGCACGCGGGCCTGGCTGTGTTGTCTACTCGTGGGCTGTCGGAAACTGTGTGTCGGCGGCTTCCCGCCAACCGCAGACACATCCGTTGGGCTTAAGTGGCTCCGAACTCGCCCGTGGGCGTTCACGACGTCCTGCCACTGTAGATACCGTAGTACGAAGGAGCAGACAGGCTCTGGTTGCAAATTGGAACGCTCTGAAGGAATGTTGGCGTCGACCCAGCTTCTTGAATTAGCGGCCCTGGGATGCTGAACACTAGGACTGCACCCTGAGCACGGTTGCAGAGGAAGGCGCCGACCTGTCCTCAGGGAGACGTTCGACTCGGGTTGGGGGAACTCGGGTTGGCCTGACGGGGCCGTCAAGAAAATGACAATACCCTGTCTGAAATCTGACTCGACGCAAACTCCCGCTGCACACATCCCACGAGAACCAGACCGTCAAAATCTAGGACGTGCTCGTCAACAAGTCTTGGCGAACCCGAGTTCCGGCGAACTCGAGTTTTACGCTTCCCCGATGCCTCCCAGCAGTGCCCCAAGGCCACAGCGAGACCGCATGCAACAACCTCGAAACCGAGGAGCGCGGCGCCGCAGGCTACAAGTGGGCGAGCTCGCGCCAGGTGGCCCCTCCTCCGGCTGGCTCCCCGCCGTGCGATGCCCTCCTTGCCTCCTCCCTCCTCTATCACTACCCTCTTCCCAACATGCCAGCCTGCCTCCCGCTGCTTCTCCCTTTCCTTATCATCTTCCTGCTCCTCCCCCTCCTCCTCCTCCTCCTCCTCCTCCTCCGACTCCCACTGTGAATCCCCGCGTCAGTTATCATGGACGATCCCGTTCCGATTCCGACGCTCCTCGTTAGAATCCTCTGGTGTGTCATCCAAGTCGTCTTTCTCTGCCTTCGAACAAATAATCCTCACTCCTAATTCATCCGTCATCCTCTCTCGCCGATGTTGCCTGCTCATTGCCCCATCCATGTCCTCCTTCCTCTCCTCTAAGTCCTCCTGCCTCTCCTCATATCCCTCTACCCTATGTTTCGTTATATATGTTCGTCTTCCTTCCTCCTCCTCCTCCTCCACCTCCTCGTCCCCGTCCTCCTCCTCCTCTTCCTCCGTCCTCTTCCCCCGGATAGGATGTTAGATATGGCGCGACCGCACCTAGCTTGTCCTCCTCCCTTCTTTCTGCTCCTCCTGCTCCTGCTCCTGCTCCTCCTCCTTCTCGTCATCCTAGCACCCCTTGCCTTCCCAATATTCCTCCGAATGGTCCTCTTTGTTGTTCTCCTCCTCCTCCTCCTCCTTCTCCAATGTATCCTCCGATTACTCGTCATGTTCTTCCTCCTCCTCCTCCTCCTGCTCCTTCTCCTCTTCCACTTCCTCCTCCTCCTCAACCTCTTCCTCCTCCTCGTCATCCTCTCTCACCCCTTGCCTTCTCAATATCCTTCAACATGCGCCTCAGCTCCGCCTCCACCTCATCCTGGTCCTCTTGATCCTCCTCCTCCTCCTCCTCCCTCCTCCTCCTCCTCCTCCTCCTCCACCTCCTCCGTCCTTTTCCCCAGGGTAGGATGTCAGACATGATGCGATCGCGCCTAGCCGGTCCTCATCCCCTCTTTCTGCTCCTCCTCGTACCCTCCGTCGCCGCCACCACCGCCGCCGCTCTCCCCCCTCCTCGCGCCCACCTCCCCCCCTGTTTCCCGTCCAGCCTCTCCCGCCTCCTCCGCCTCCTGCCTCTGGAGACGGCGCGCGCTCACGGCGAATCCCGACCGCCCAGAGCCTGGGTACTGGACCTTCGGATTGGTCCTCCTCTCCTCGGTGCCGAACACGTGCCTGCGGGCGCAAGGGGTGGGGGGGAGCGGGACCTCGGACTCAGGCCTGGAAGCGAGGTGCGCCCTGCAGCCCAGGAGAGGCGAGCGCGTCCTGCGCGCAGGAGGGGGGGGCGCCCGGGCGGCGCGGCGCGACCGGGGACAGAAGACAACGCGACCGAGGCGGCACGAGGAGGGGCCGGCCAGCGCAGTGGCCCTCCAGCGCTGCCGCCGACGCACCCGTCGTCGCCCGGAGGGTGGTGCGAAGGGGAGGGAGGCGGGGGAGACGGAGAAGGTCGCAGAGGAGAGGGGGGGCGGCCGGGCCCCCCGGCCCACTCTCGGGAAAGCCCGAGTAGATTTTCACCCCGGAACCGTTCCCGGATGAAAATCCATCTGGGGCACCCCGATGCAACAAGGCGCACCCGGGGATAGGAGGGGGGGTCCCCTGCTTGTGCGATTACGACCAGGTTTGCTTGTTTTTCTTTCAATCGTGTACCATTTCAGACGTGAAGACGCAGCCTGCACTCACCCTATGATCTGATGCTGTACGACGCTTCAGAAGCGTAAACAATGTGAAACGACCCACACTCAAATTCACTTTGTATATACACACACAATTGACATCAATTTGAAAACGCCCCACAATAACATTCAGTTGGTGCACCCCCACAACTGAAATCAACGTGTAATCCATCTACATATTAATTTTGGTAGTGGAGATTTCCAAGGTTAGCGCCGTGGGGCCGCGGAAGTGTACCAGGAAACAGGAAAAACAGGCAACACACTTTAAACACACATGTGCTTTCACACGGGAGAGCAAAACAAACCAAAGAACACATGCTACTGTTTGCATGTTTAGTGGCACCGCTAAGAAATAATAATAATAGGATTAATAATAATAATGATAATAATATATAGCATAAAAAGAAGAAAACACCGGGATGGCGAAGAAGGTGCGCAAGTGTCAGCGCAGCAGCGCCGCCGCGCCAGCAAAGCGCCAGAAGCGCCAGCTGGATGCCAAAGGTGTAGACCTCGGTTCCGTCGTTGCGCGAGTCTGTTGCTTCACTGGCTTAGTTCTATGTGAATGGTGGTTTCACATGAAGAAAAACAAATGCCTGCTCTTACTCATACCATCGAATGGCTTTCGGCCAATTCCGACGCCGCTCCAAGGTGTCGCGCCATCCGATGTACAAACAGATTTCGTGTGGGGGCAGCAGATTGACTTCGATTGTGGGTAAATTCATAAAGAATCACAGGATTAACGCCATAATGAAGATGATGATGAATACAAGTATGATGAGTAAACTGAAGATCCATAGCGTTCCAATCAAAAAGAAGCCCATCAACCCTGTTGTAATTATACAAGCAAAGAAATCTCACGGTAATACCGGGCCAACTAAGTAGTACTTTTCCAAATGGAATCTCTTAGTGGGTAGCCTTTTCTCGCGGCTGCCCCCCCAACCCAATTTCGGGAGCACCCACATGGATTTTCACCCCGGCACCGTTCCAGGGTGAAAATCAATCTGGGACCCCCCAGTGCAGAGAGGCGCTCTCGGGGATAAGCCGACCCCAAAAAATCAAACGTTCCCGATCGACTCTCTTATTGGGGAGCCTTTCCCCGCGGCTGCCCACTCCCTTAGGAAAACCTGCATTTTTAGCACATTTGCCTCTTGTGCTGTCACGAGGCCCACCGAGGTCGAAGCGGCCTTCAAGATCAACCCCAAACGGGCCAAGAGGCCCCCAAGAGGGCTGAAAGACGGCACACGAGGGCCCCAAGACGGCCCCAGAAGCCTCCAAGACGGCCGAGGAGGCCTCGAGGACGGCCCCAAGGGGAGGCCTAGATGGGGAGTCCGAACGAACATTTCGAGCTCCCGTCCCCAAGATGCCCCCATGAGTTCCCAAAAAGCTTCCAAATGGCCCCCAGAGAGCGCCAAAAGGGCTCCCCCAAAGACCCCAGACGCCGCCAGGAGGCCCCCTGCCTCCATGACCCTCCCGACGCGCCTCCCGCGTGACCCCATCAGCCATCCGAACGGCGTCAAGCCCGCAAGGCACGGCGGGGTGTGCCCAAAGCCATGCGATAATCATCCTTCTGGCATTTTGAAAGGCGCCCACCGTCTGGCCCCAAGAAGCACCCAAGAGGCGTCCCAAGAGGGCCTCCAGAAGCAAACATCGTCCCATTCCGTTTGGACAACGTGCATTTTTAGCACATTCGCCTCTTCGGCGTTCACAGCGTCCCAAACGGCTCAAGAGGCCTTCAAGATCGCCCCAAGACGGGCCAACAGGCCCTCCAGAGGGCTCCATGACGACCCAAGATGGCCCCAAGACGGCCCAAGAAACTCCCAAGACGCCCCAGGAGGGCCCAAGGACAGCCCCAAGAGGGGGGCCCAGAGGGGGAACCCGAACAGACATTTCGAGTTTGATGCCTGTAAAGAGCCCCGAAGAGGCCCCCAGGATGCCCCCGAGAGGTTCACAACTGCCTCCAAGACGCCTCCCACGAGACCCCATCAACCATCCGGGCGGCCTGAGACCCGCAATCCAAGCATCGTGGCGGGGATGTGCCGAAGGCCAGTCGATCATCCTTTTTATGGTGTTTTGACAGGTGCCTGCCGTCTGTCTGCGTGGGCTCTCGCCCGTTCCCCCATGGCGTGCACGGCGGATGCCGAGAATGTCGACCCAGGAGGCCCCGAAAAGGCCCCCGTGAAGCCCCAGAAGAGCTCCGAGAAGCCCCCACAAGGCGCACAAGAGGCCCTCAGGAGCAACACGCAACAACCGCCAGTTCCAGAAGAGGTCGGCGGTGTGGCATAAGCCCAAGCATCTCTTATCGGGGAGCCCTTTCCCGCGGCTGGGCAGGTCCTCCAGAAGCAAACATCGTCCTATTCCCTAAGGAAAAACGTTTATGTTTAGCACGTTCGCCTCTTGGGCTTTCACGAGGCCCACAATGGCCCAAGAAGCCTCAAGATCGACCCAAGATAGCCCAAGAGGCCCCCAAGATGGCTCCAAGACGGCCCAAGAGAGCCCCAAGACGGCCCCAGAAGTCTGCAAAATCGGCACAGGTGGGCACCAGGACGGCCCCACAAGGAAGCCCAGAGGGGGAAACCGAATGGACATTTCGAGCACTCGGCACCGAAACAACCTGAGGCGCCAAGAGGCCCCCAAGAGGCTCCCACGAAGCCCCCGAAAGGCCCAAACGAGGCGCCTAGAGGCCTCAACACGGCTCCCAAGAGGCATCAGAAGTGTTGTCAGGAGAGCCCAGAGAAACCCAAGAGCAAAGCCGCGGTCCGCAAACCGCCCCCGACGAAATCCCAAGAAGGTGAAACCCCAAGATTCCCCAGAAATCGCGCGCGTTCCGCAAACTCCGTTTCTCACTCTTTTTGCCGCCCTAAGGGGTCGAATAAATCTGGATCATGCGCGGACGCTCCGCGATCACGTTGCATTGTTTTGACAGAGACGGCGGGGGGGGAACATATTGCCTGCTGTGTGAATGCCAACACCACCCAATTCTCCCTATCAGAAAACAGTACAACACACACACACACACACACGTTGCACCAAAATCTAGATCATGTGCGGACGCCTCGCGATTCATTAACTCGAAGGAATAACGCTATAAACATCAACTTGACTTTGGTGCTCCGCGCGGATTTCTTGGATCCGCGCTGGGCCCCCCTGGCGGCGCCTCCGGCGATGCCCCTGGCGCGCTCCGCGCGCTAGGGAGGGGCCCCCGGCGCAGATCCAAGAAATCCGCGCAGAGCGCCAACAGTTTATGTTTACAGCGTTGTTCCTTCTTCGACCAACAGGGATGGCCGGGGTGTCGGCATACTGCCTGCAGTGTGCAGGCCCACCATCCCTTCCAAAAGAAACCAAAACAACGAGCCCGTGTGGGAGGGATGGCGGCGGCGGGGGGGGGCGGGGTGGCATACTCTGAGCATTTCCTTAGGGTGGAGGGCTTAGGGTGAAATCCATATGGACTTTCGCACCTCGAAAACCAATCCGTCTTGTGATTCACCTCTTGCAGAAGCAAGCCTCGAACATCCATCGAAACGGCATTTCAGATTTCACCATTTGCCCTCCACCCAAAGAAAATGCTCGGATACTGCCTGCAGCGTGCAGGCCCACCACCCTTTACAAAAGAAACCAAACTAACGAGCCCTTTTGCGAGGGACGGCGGCGGCGGGGAAGGGTGGGCGGCATGCTGCCTGCTGCGCGCAGGCCCACCAAACAAATGCAAAGCGACCGTGGGCGACGACGACGACGGCGACGGCGACAACGAGGAGGAGGAGGAGGAGGAGGATCTTACAACCTTACGACCTTACGACCTTACGTTCTACGACCGTCGACGACGACAACGACGACGACGACCCACGACCTACGACCTACGACCTACGACCTGCGACCTGCGACCTACGACCACCACCACCACCACCACCACCGCGCGGCGCGCCGCGCGGCAGTGCCTGGCCCCCTGCCCCGTGGTGCTGGGCACCGCGTACGCGGGCCCCGGGGAGGTCCTCGCGGCGCTTGCCGCGCGCGCGCGGGCGCAAGGCCGGGGGATGGGAGGCGGCGCGCGCGCACGCGCGCGCGCGGGCCGACGCTCGCTCGCTCGCTCACCCTCGCGTGCCCCCCCCCCCTCCCTCCTTCCCTCGCGTTTCCGCTCCTCTACTGCTCCCTCCTTGCGCACTGAGAAGAATGGACTTTGGATTTCATTGGTATATGGAGCCCACCACCCCCCAGCGGTTTGAAGGCCACACTCATACTGACGGGTCCTGCACCAGGTCCTTGGCTCGCGAAATGAGCCGCGTTTCCTTTTTTGTTGTACAAGGGTTTCCTCGTCCGTCCGAGGCGCTCAAACGAATGTGAAATGCGAAACTGTCGACAAGTTCGGGCTGCTGGCCGGGGCAACACGGTGGAGCCCCACGCAGATCCAAACGGGTCCTCGCCATCCCTGGGGGGGGGCTGCGAAGTGTGAAGCTTTCGCCACGTTCGGGGGCTGCTGGGGTGGCCAACGCAGTGGGGTGCCACGCAGATCCAAAAAGGACCTCGCCATCCCTTGAGGGCTGCGAAATGTGCCTGCCCCACGCAGATCCAAGCGGGACCTCGCCATCCCTGGGGAGGATTGCGAATTGTAAGACTGTCGCCATTTTCGAGGACTGGCGGCGCGCCTGTGCGCGTTCGGTGTTCGCACTAAGAAGCGCAGGGAGGAAGCGGAGAGGCTGGCGGGCGAACTAGGCCTTGACCTCTTCTTACACTAGCAACGGGAGTTTTAACATTCCTTCCGAGGCGCTGCAGCAACGCGGAGCGCCGGCCGTGGAGGTGTTGCGCCTTTTCCGCAAAGAAAAACGCGACACTTAATTCTCATGTAATCGCATCTTGCCCATGCTCCATCATCTCGCTGCTTCTGCCGAGGTGATTTGTCTTCCACTCCGATGTTTCCTTGTGCTTCTCCTTCCCAAAACAATGCCTCCTGGCCTTTTGCACCTCTGTTCTGCGAGTCGGCCACGCACCCTTCGCACGATATAGACATCCGCCGTGCACCGTCTCTTGCAATGTTGCTGTCGCACCATTGCCGGCACGCCTTACATTATATCCCTTTGTGCCGATGGGTTGGGCACGTTGCAAGACAACTCCTTCATGCACGATCCTCCCGCTCTCACGCCCGCTCCCCTGCTCCGAGCCGGGCGCGGACACCTCGAGACCTCGGCGCCAACCTGTGGGAAGACTGACCGCGCGCCTCGCCCCCAGGCCGCGGCTCGGCGCCACCTAGACTCCCTGCCCTCCCGCGGCATGGCCGAGACGAGGGTGAGGAGACGGAGGAAGAATAGGAGGAGGACGAAGAGGAGGAGGAGGAGGAGGAGGAGGAGGACTGTGAGGAGGTAGTGGAGGAGGGAAGAGGAGGAGGGGGAGGAGGGGGAGGAGGAGGGGGAGGAGGAGGAGGAGGAGGAGGAGGAGGAGGAGGAGGAGGAAAGGGACTGCGAGGGGAAGTGGGGTCCCTCACGCCCTCCAAGCAGCTCGGGCCGGGCCGTGGCACCACTAGCCCAGGCGCCGCCCAGCCTCCCTGTCCCGTCTGCGGCCCTCCTCGACCTCCCGACAGCTCACTGCGCCGACCTTGCAGACGTGCTGCAGCGGATTTTGGGCGAGGGGTTCGGTCAATGCAAAACCTCGAAACGGCGAGCGAAAAACGAACTGAATTTCCCGTGGATCTGTTTTAGGTCTTCATTCCTGACCAGACACATCCGCACGAAATTCACTCCGAAATGCGGAACGAAATTCTCCAGGAAACTCCAGGCCCATCCCATGGCTTTCCGACCGAAGTCCGCTCTGCGATGCTGGCGCCATGGGACAGCAGACGACGGGTCCAGCAGGCAGGCGCAGCGAGGCAGCACGGCAGGGCTGGACCTCAACGTTGCTTTTCGTTTTGCTTTCGTGTTTTGCTTTTCGTTCTGCTCTACCTTTCGTCTTTTTGCTGTTCGTTTCGCTTTTCGTATTTTGCTTTTCGTTGTTTTCCTGTACCTCCCTCCCAGGACGAGGAACAAAACACAGCCGAGGTCCAGAAAAACAGCGTCTAGGTCCAGCCCTGCAGCACGGGGAGGCCACCGCGCTGGGGCAGCGCGCCGCCGCCGGCAAGGCCATCTCTTGCCCCGCGCGACGGCCGCGGCAGGGATGCATTGACGCACGGGCTCCCCAGGGGCCGAGTACGGTGTCCAGTCAGTCAAGCTGCTACCACAAGGAGCGCTAGATAAGGAACGAAGCCCCTTCTGGCCCCCAAAGCGGCCAGGTGCACGCGGCATGCTGCAGGAGCAACCATGGGAGGACTCGAGGAACAGCAAACCCCTTCCGAACCCAGGCTGCTCCTGATTTCAGCGCCTTGACTGCACTACGAGTGCCACACCCAAGCATCGGGGTCCGACCCGTCACCTGGCCTGGCGAGCAGGAAGCAATCAGGGATCGGAAACGCTGGGAAGGGGTGGGCGGCAGGATAGACGCCCGGCTCAGGCCCTGGGCCGTCAACCAGCAGACCCAACAAGTCGCGACGCCCGAGGGTCCGGGCTCGCGCCCTAGCGATAAGTCGGGCGTGTCCCCCTACAGGGGGATTTTGTGCGAAAAATAAAACGTGTACTCAAAAGATACCCTCAACATGGGCAAACATAGCAAAACAAATCGTCCCCCGACTACTTCTTTACTGTTTTTGTAAAGAGACGGGCCCGACTTGGCCCCAGCGCCGGCCCCCAGCAGGACAACGGCCCTCCGGCCCGGGCAGCGATTCGGGATCCTCTTGCACTGGCGGGCGGCCTGCTGGCGAGGTCGGGCCCGTTCGCTTTCGGCTGTTCGCCCAGCCCTTCCGCACCGGCAGCGAGGCTCGCAACTGCTTCAGGCATGGGAAAAAATAGCGAACACTCAATCCACATTCATCTGTCAACGCCTCCCCCTCCCCCCAATGTTCAAAGTTGGCGGTGGGTCTGATGAGTTGCACCTCGACCGCAATCTCCCCCGCGCGTGCCAACTTTGAATTTTGGGGGCAGGGGGGGTGTTTACTGATTGTTTCCCTCTACCGTTGCACCATGGGTGTGCACATCTTGGAGGATGGTCTTGACGAAATGCGACGTGCTTCACCACATCGGGTGGGACAAGCTGGTTGGCTGGTGCTGGATGGTGTTATCTGGTATGGGTATACTTCTGTGTTTGAGTGTTCCGTTTGAGTGTTCGATTAATCAGATTCTTCTGCATGTGGGGAACATCGTCGCAGCAATCGTCGTCGCGGGTCGCGAGCGCAGACTGCTTCTTGGCAAACTCTTTGCCGATGTACGTCTGGCGTCGCGGTCGGGCACAGCAGGAAAAAGGCGGCTGGGCCCCAGCAGAACCCTGGGGCGACGGACGCAGGCTGAGGCACCCGAGGAGAGCGGCGAGGCGAACGAACAACGCGACGGAGGACAGCGTTGAACTGGAAGAGGCACCGTGTGCCTACGGCAGCTTCGCGTCGTGTCGTCCATGGCATTGGTCCCTGACACCGCGGGGATCCTTCAAAGTGAATGATCAGCCCTTTCGAAGAGGCTGGATCGTTCAAGGATGGGCCTGTTCTGGGCCACAGGCGGCGTTCAACCTTAAACGCCCACGCGGGGGTCGCCGTTGGTCGACACGACGCGAACCTGCCTAATCACGTGCATTCTTACGTGTACGTCCATAGCGTGCTCGAGCGTGTGCGCACACGCATAACATGCACGGGATCACGTATACATCTGTGTGTGCACTTGCGCGCGTGAACGCAGACCCGTACACGCACACACAGACAGACAGACAGACAGGCAGGCAGGCAGGGAGGAAGGCAGGGAGGAAGGCAGGTAGGCAGGCCGGCAGGCAGGCAGACAGGCAGACCCACACATACGCACACAAACACACACGTACACACATACACAAAAAGGTTCCTCCGCCAACAATGTGACATCACAACCGAGAAAAACACGGACACACACACACACACACACACAAACACACACTCAAACACACACAGCATAACATACTGCGGCTTGCCACACCACAATATCATACTGCACCGATTTGATGCACAAGCGCCTACACGTGTATCCGCCACTGTGCCGCCAGGCGCTGAGTGGATGGTCCTCAGGTGCTGCCGGTGCTCTGTATTGCGCACTGCAACCATTTCAGGGGGCCCGCAGCCCAGAATTCTGGGCACTCGTGGGTTTTCCCACGTGACCTTTTTGCGCTGCCTGTCTTTCAAGACACCTGAACACTACAATTTCGCTTGACACATCCTCCAGCAATCGGCCCCCGAGGGTGATACCACGAAGGGGCCTTGGGAGCTTTCTGGAGCCAATATAGCCCCCCCGGCCCCTAGAAACCCAGGGATCTCAAAAAGCTCCAGAAGGGACCCCCAAAAGGCCCCCCACAGGGACCCCGAAGAGGCCCCCGAGAGGGCCCCAAGAGGCCTCCAAGAGGCCCCCGACAGGCACCCCCACAGAGTGCGATTTGCATCCAAAAGGCCTCTGGTACACGACCCAGACACGGTGGCGGGATGGGTCGAGTGCCACTAGATCCGCTGCCGCCTGTGGCTTGCAACAGGGGTGCACGGCGTGCCACATGTCTGACAGGTGTTTGGTTCTTGTCTAATTCCACGTGGGGTTTCGGCCCAGCCGGGCCCGTCACAAGGAAAACGCACCTCCCGCCGGCTCTTTCGCTTAAGATGGTTCCAAAATGGCCTCCAAGACGGCCTAGCCTCTCCAAGACGGCTCTGAAACGCCCCAAAACGACGACGCAAGACTGCCAAAAAGGTAACCCCGAACGACCCAAGAGGCCCACGAGGCCCAAGAGGCCCCAAAGAGGCCTCCAAGAGGCCCACCGGAACCTCCCAGGAGGCCCCAAAAATCAACCAAAAAGCTCCCAACCTCCTCAATTTCCCCGAATGGTTTCCACAACTGTTGGGAGAGCGCATGGTCTAACAGCGTGGCGAACAATTGCTCAAACGTTGGGCCACATATGCGTATTCTACCAACATGGGGCGGCGGTGATTCGCCGTCGGCGTCTTCGATGCGCCGCCCCCCGTGGTTTGCCACAGGGGTGCACGGCTGCACGGCGCACTGAAGTTTGACAATTTGATCAACCATTCCCAATGGAATCTCGATGCTTTTTGCACCGGCCGCCGGTGCCCAGATCGCCTCCAAAACAGACAACATGGTAGCCGATGGCCTCCAAGAGGCTTCATAGACGGCCCCAAGACGCTTCCACCCAATATGTCCTCCAGACAACCCCAGGGGCCCCCAAAACGCCCAAAGAGGGCTCCAAGAGGGCAGAATTATTGATCGCCCGTGGGTTTTTGTATGATGTTAGTGTTTTCGCCTTTTCCCGCCACCAGCCTGGGGTGCCCGACCTTGCCGAGCTGGATGTCGTCCACGGCGTCTCCCAGGTCCACGGTGCCGAGGGCCGCCATCTCGTCGAGCCGCGGCACGAGGAAGATGCGCATGCAGAGGTCCGCGAAGCTGCAGCCTGCCACCACGCCCCGCTGCGGGACGCACCAGCCCATCGCCGCGCCGTCCACGGTGACGAGCCTCGGCAGGGCGTAGAGCCTGATGAGCAGCCGCATCAGCATCATGTCGGGGCCCAATGCACGGGCTCGGACGACCAGCAGCGCCTACGGGATGTGTTCGCGCGCTTTGGAGAGGTCCATGAGCACGGAGTAGGCCGCCTGCTTGCGGTGAGTCGCGGCCTCAGAATTGGCCGCCTAGATCCACGCGCACGTCTCGCAGCTGCGCCCCGACGTGCCGTAGATGTTGTCCTGCTGGTGGGCGCTGGCCCAGCGTGCGCCGACTGCGCCGCGCGCCCAGCGCGCGAAAGGGCGCGACGCTCCAGCGAAGAGCCCGATGGCACGGACTCCCGACCCAGCCTTTGGAATGGGCGCCATCTGCAGCACCGCCAGCGTCTTGGGCACGTAGCCGAGGCTCAGCATGTGCCTCCACACGGTGGCGAAGGCCTCCAGCGCGCCGTCCGTCGGACAGGAAGGTGACGTGCAGAGGGTGGAACGCATCACCTCCCAAACCTGCGACGCGCGCGAAGGAGTGGCCCACCTTGCGCAGCTCGTCGGGCTTCGGTCCCGGAGGGCCGTCGCCCAACTCCGCCGGCCAGCTGACAGCGCCCAGCCCAGCGCCCTCGCCCCGCAAGGCGTGCCATGGGCGGGCGGCCGCGTCGGCCGCCTTCCGCGCGGTCTGCAGGCCCACCGCAGGCGACCAGCGGGCAGCTGCCCGTGGGGCAGGCTCGCAGGTCCAACGGAGCGCCCTGCGCAGGCCCTCGGCGGCAATGGCGTCGCGCGCCCAGTCGAGCCAGGACCTGCCTCGCCTGTGCGACGCGCGCCCTGCCGCCGCCGAGGCCTGTCGTCGAAGCAAAGCCAGCAGCTCATCACATTCATCATCAGGAAGACGGTGCAGACGCCTCGCCAGCCGCCGCCAGGTGCGCCACACCGTAGGCTCGCCGCCAGGGACGGGCGGCTTGAAGCGCAGGAGCTTCACCTGCAGGCGCCGCGTATGGACGGCCTGCCCCGCCGCCTGCAGCAGCGGCCACTCCCGCGCCCGATCGCCGAGCCAGCCCCAATGTGCATCCGGGGGATCTGGCTCAGCCGTGCGCTGCCAGCTGCTGGAGCGGTGGCGGCCCAGCTGGGTCTGGACAAGGCGCAGGCCCTCGCTCCTGCCGGGGAACCTGCTTCCCTCGCGGGTGCCCTCCAGGTCGAAGTGCCGCAGCAGCTCGTCTTCGCATGTGCCCGGGGCCCTGCCGCAAGCTGCACCCAAGCCTACTGCCGTGGTCACCGTGCCAGGTCGCCGTGGGCGTCGGTCCAGTCAGGGGCTGGAAGCTGAGGCCCGATCAAGGCCTGGGCAGGGGAAGCTCGGGCCTTATGCACACGCGTCGCCAGGCCGCCTGGCTTCGACGAGGCCAGCTGCGGCAGCGCCGCACGGCGCGTCCGCGCATCGAAGCGGTCGCAACGGCTGGCGCCCTTGATGGGCGTGTCCGCGCCCGCGCAGAAGTAGCCCAGCCCCCATCGCAAATGCCGCCGCGATGTACGCGCCCCCCCCCCCCCCCCCCCCGAACAGGCCAGGCGCGCGCCATGCGCGGGGAGGGGGCGGGCCTCGTCCACGACCTCGGGCAGCATGTTCCAGTGAGCCTCCGCGACGAAGGGGCGGTGCATGGCCCTGGCGACCGAGCCCATGTTGGTGAGCAGGTCCACGTTGAAGTCGCTCAGGCCCCGGTTGGCGTGGAAATGGGCAGAGAGCAGCAAGGCGCCCGCAGTCGAACCCAACGATGTCATCCAAAAACCCAAGCGGGCAGAACTTCAATCGAAATGCGGCCATCACTGATTCGACGCGCCTCATGCGCACCCACGCGCGTACCAAAATTCCAACTTTTGAAGATACTCCACCTTTGTCAGTCGCAGTCGCGGGCACGAGGTCGGCCACCCATCCCGCTCGCATGGCTGCTCGGACGGCTGCTGCCAGCCGTAGGTCGTCGGACAGGCGATGCTCCTGGATGGGGATGGCCTGCGCCTCGTCGTCGATGTTGCCTTGCTCCAGCTGTGCCAGGCCGGCCCCCCAGCATGTGACATTCGCCGTCGTGGCGGCCAGGGTGTCGCCATCGCCCCTGTAGCTGCGCGGCGCCCGCCGCTGCGGGGCAGTCGGGCCCGCGCCTCACGCAGGGGGGCTCGCCGACAGACGGGCCCGCGCCTCCCCCTGGGAGGGGCGCTCCGTCACCCGCAGCGTCTGGGCAGTCGGGCCCACGCCTTACGTAGAGGGGCGCACCGGCCGACGGGCCCACGCCCCCCGCCGGGAGGGACTCACCGTCACCCGAGGGGGCCGAGGGCCCAGCGCAGCGCCCAGCAGCCGACGCCCCCTGCCCATTATTATCTCTCTTCGGGAGGCCGACCTCCCGAGGCGGCTGAACCTCCAAGGAGGGCCGCGTGCTGCGGGAACCCCGGGGCGGCTCGACCTCCGAAGAGGGCCGCGCGCTGCGGGGATGAGAAGGTGGGCAGGGGTCTGTACGCGCAGATGCCGACGAGCAGGTCGTTGACACAGAAGAACTCGCACATGGCCCTGACCCATTCGTTGCCCCCTTCGCATTGATTGCAGGCGAGGGGGACCGAGGGGGGGCAATCTCGTGATAGATAGCCAATCGACGTCGTTGCACTCGCCTGAGTAGCCGAAAGCCGACGTGTTGCCGTAGTTGGAGTCGTCGTTGCAGCTGGCCTCGCACTCCCCTGGGTAGCCGTCCAGCCCGTAGTTGTTCATGTGGTTGATGCCGCGGCCGTCGTCCAAGCA